TACCTTAGGACAGCTGGTACCTATAGTTGAACAAGAGTTAGTTTAAATCGTAATTTTTAGCCAACACTAGGCAGCTGGTACATAGTTGAACAGAGTTGTTTAAAGCGTATTTTTAGCCAACACTAGGCAGCTGGTACATAGTTGAACAGAGTTGTTTAAAGCGTATTTTTAGCCAACACTAGGCAGCTGGTACATAGTTGAACAGAGTTGTTTAAAGCGTATTTTTAGCCAACACTAGGCAGCTGGTACATAGTTGAACAGAGTTGTTTAAAGATTGGCTTTGTTTTTTGCGGTTGTTCTTCAAATTTTCCAAAAGTAAAGCCCTCCAGTGGCACAGCGGTAAGTGTGCGGACATAGAACGCTAGAATCCGGGTTTTGATACCCGTGGTGGGCAGAGCACAGATAGCCCATTTTGTAGCTTTGTGTTTATTACAAACAAACAAACCAAAAGTAAAAAATACATGATAACACATGAAAAGGGTAAAATGTATCTCTACATATACATATAGACTTCTTATAGTGTAACTACACGACATTTGTGTATATTGGCCGTGTGCCATTTTATGTCCAAAAATTTTTTTTATTATTCAATATATTAAAATTATAACAAAATTAATTACAATCACCTCTGACCTTATATCAACGGATTACTTATAGTGTCCACATTGGTATATCATGGCCGTTGTACGAGATGTTCTATAATAGAAGTAAGGTTATGAGATGTAATGATGTATACATCTAAATAAGTTTGTTTGTTTCTGGATGATGAGACAGTGTTTATTAAGGACAGTCCAAGAATCATACCACACTTGACGAGTTGCTTGTAAGAATCTATTAGAATATTGCAAGTGTACTTTATAAAATTGAAAGATTACAAATGTACATATAACTTTCTATTTAAAGAAACAATTTTCGTAATATTACAAACTAATATTAGTAAAAAGTAAAATGAAGTTAAATTTTTTCCCTGTCTTTTTTTTTCTAAGTATTTTCTCATAATTTGGAGAAACAAATCTCACTAGCAAGGATCAAATTTCGTGATTTCTAGTCTTAATCTTCTACGTTTCGTTTTTCTCAAAATTCAATCCAATGATTTAAAAACATTAAGGCCGATGATCGTATCTTCTTTACAGAACTTTCTGGATGAGTATATATTGTGTATGTCTAACCTGTAAAGTTGATATAAAGATGGAATGCGATACCTCTTGCTGTTTGTCAAATTTCCAAGGATCAAATCATCAAGTTTCCGTTGGCAAACACATTATTTGGATCAACGTATTCTTTCACCGCCCTCATCATACCAAGACCAACACCGGACACAGACTGTTTCAACCAACGCTTCCGGATCTTACCAACTGTAAATAGTATATTTTAATAGTAATAATAATTCATTTGTATTATTTACTTGTAACAAGTTTTAATCAAGATAATACTTATTGTCAAATAGGGGAACAAAATTACAACCATGAAACATTTCATGATTAAACTACTAGCTTTGTTCCTTAAGTAAACATGTTAATACATTTCTAAATAATAAACAATATTAAACCACATGGATGTATTTCAAACAATTCGATTCTATTCAAACCAGTTTTATTTCACTCATCTTAAAGCTTGCTTTTCAGTAAAATTAAAGCATCTAATGCAAATTCTATTTCATATAATGTATTTTTCAAAAATATCATTTCATCCTGAGTAGTTGTTTACTCGATCTAAAACTGACAAGTATACTACGTGATAACCGTAATTAGTTTCCCTCTGGTGGATCTAGACTATTTTCTGTTTGTTTTTTTGTTTTCTTACGTCTAATAAAATAAACTTTCATTTTGTTCTTATAACCAATCGCAATTATAGGGAAAGTAAACTTGCAGAACACTTCCGTACTTACTTCCGTGGTGATGAGAAACACTTCCTCCACAAGCAAGTATCTCGTCTCTAGCTGCCGCCTGGAAAATAATGTAACTTTTTATAAAAAGCAACTCTCAATATCCAATAAAATCTATAGCATTTAAGATAAAAATCTGAGTTTAATATTTTTTAAACATATTACAAATATATGTTCCTGTTTTTAATTAATGATATGCACCTAAGAGTTTGATAAATGAATACCAGTGCTTTTTATTGGGTTACCGTTTTTATAACATTCAAGTGCTTTTAACGTTTAACTACATTCAAGTAAAGATTTCATTCATAAGTACTTGATAATGCTCAAAAACAAGTTTCATAACACAATATATCTGTAACAAGTGAGTTCATATCTCTCGCATTACGTTAGCGGACTGTGGATTTGAGGTTTTGTTGTTCGAGTCCCCATACGCCAAAAAAAAAAACAATAAAAAAATCGCATTCTGCACTTTAGAGCTGTGGGTACGTTATACAGTAAGGTCAAACTGCTCTATAGTCCGGTGATTTCTCTCGGTAAAATATCCATCCGGACCCGGCTACTTTTGCAATGTAACCGCGAGATTTATACGATTAATAACTTGATTACTAATTTGCATTTAAATATAATCCTACTGACTTGATTATGAAGTAAATCAACATTATATAGGTTTTTCCGCTCGTTATTTTAAACACACTCTCACCCAGTCAATGACTGAGATGTTGAGCAACTTGTTTATGCCCCTGTTACTATTATTAATGTTACTATTATTCGTGATTGTGGAATATATTTTAATGATTTTTTGTACAGGTTGTACACGTTTTACTGAGACAGAAATTAAAAATAGAAGTCTGAAGGCGACTTTACAGAGCTTTCGGTGATTTTCCGGAATATTTTAAGTATATCATAAAATATTGATTGCTACTTGTTAAGTTTCAATAGGAAACATGTTGATAAAATATGAAATTCTGAGGAGAATTTGTGACTTTTTTTCTTACCCGAATGTTCTAATAAAAAGATAAAATGCGGTAAGTTTCTTTAAAATAGTGAATAAAGATGATTACCATAATTTCGCGTTGTACGACAAATGTACAGTCTACAAACAGCAGAAAAAAGTGTATGCGTGTATAGACCCCGATCTAATCGTTTTTTCAATAAAATATTGTAGAAACTTATTATATTCTATCCTACATAGAACAAGTAAAATGTCATCATGATAAATAAAATCTGGCCCAAGCTTGTTCTTTGGTTAACATCTTCGGTTTTGTTCAACTCTAGGGAGGGTCTTGTTCAGGGAATGATGTCATGGGATCATGCCCATAGGCAACAAACACTATGCTCAAGTTTTCTATTAATAACACTAGGTAACAAAATAAATTATTCTCTGCCATTATAAAAAATGCAACTGTTTTTGGTAATTTGAAGATGCTGATTCTAAAAACCACGTTGAAAATTACTGATCACCTCTAGTTTTCTAGTTATGATAGATTTATTCTAAATATTATCATTTACCATAAAACTAACTTTTTCTTGAATAACTTTACTTATTCATTGAAAATTGGATTTAAAAATGTAAAATCTTCATGCTTTGATAAGTTTCTTTCATGTTCACAACCTGAGCAACGGGAATCGATGGCTTAGTATTCCCATTGTTCTTTCAGATTAACTTTAGATAAAAAATCTCCATTTTGAGGTTGATGTTCAGTACCTAATTTTCCATTAATGCATCATCATCATCATCTGTACAGAAACACAAGGTATATTGTATTCTGTAGTGAGAAGCAAAGCTTTGATGGTGTCTTCAGTAAACTGAAATTGTTGTTCCTGAAGCTAATAAATTTCACTGCTGCAAACGAGAGCTAAGAAGTTCCACATACTATTTCGATAGAGACAAATTATGAATCAGATCTTTCAGCTCTTCTTGTGTGATGAGACGAGGCAGTTAATGTTGAGGTGCCACAGGAATATAATTACTAGATGAAGAGGATTCATTGTCTTCTTCGCAATATAACTCTTCTGTTTTGTAATTCGCTGATGGATGTGGCACTGGAAGGCCATCCCCATGAGTTACTGGTTTCATTGCAGATGCGATATCTGAATATTTAATGTAGTGTTTAGTTTCGTCTGAATATACAAAAATATTAGTCATGCAAAAATAACAAACAGTTAAATGATTTTTGCGTTCACTCCATATCATGAGAACTGCAAATGGCATGCTTGTTTTCTTCTTATTCAGCCACTGTGTCAAACCAGACGTGCAAAGTGTACAACATACATGTGGTGCCCAATTTTACACACGAAATAATGGTAGTAAGCTACCTTTACCTTGTGTGTGTGATGTTTTCCTTCGTGAAACTGTAATATATTTTCCACAAATATAGCAGACACTATTTGGGTGGTTTTTGCACTGTCGGACTTTACTTGAAGTGGAAGCAGCCAGCATTTCAAATGGTTTTCTAAAAAATACAAACTTTATGTTTACAGAACTAGAGTTCTAAAATATTTTTAAAAACAAAGTTTCCAGAATTTGATTGTATCACGGGTATGATGCGAGGAAGAAGATTGGTCTTTGTTTTAACTGTGCAAGAAGCGAGGTGAAGTGACCAACTGAGTGAGGGAGAGACAACTGAAAGAGAGACGTATGACTTCGCCCCTTTTATACTCAGTCGAGGGACTTCTTGAATGTTCTAGCAAACTAAGCACGTGGGGGTTTCATGATTCCCGGGCGGAGCAGTTGACTGTGGAAATGAAGCAAAAGTGGTGCAATTCACTACAATTATATCGAGAGCAAACAGCATATATGAACAATATATTTGGAATTTTATACCAATACAATACAGTCAATGTTTGAAGTTATCAAAAATGTATGCCTTCTACCCATGAAACTGTCCAAGTAAACTAACTTTCACAGCATAAATCTATTATTCTGTGGTTATTACATGGTATTTCACATAATGCTGATAAAATATTGAGATATTATAATAACTCAAAATCTAGAGGTGATGGACAATTTCTGACTACAATTTTGAAATCAGCACCATCAAATTACCCCGAATCACGTGAGTTTTCTGCACTAGCAAATTGTTTGTTGCCCAGTGTAATCGAAATAAGCTACATATTTTTTCATGTAATTATTTTGTTATAATTTCTTGTATCATATGTATGGTAAACATAGAAAAGAATCACATGAATGTATTTTGAAACAAGTGTTTTTTCCTCCAGAAACAAGATTAACTTCTCCTGGAAATGCTTAAGATTGAATTTTGGTCAGAGAACTTTGTTCTTTGAAATCTTCACAATGATCACGTGACCCTCTTATATTTTGGAAACGTAACCCTTAACCTTCTAATTTAAATAATAATTATAATAATAATAATAAGAGTGACTGTCAAATCCTACTCTTTTGTCAACAAGAATAGCCCAAAAGTTGGCGGTGCGTGGTGTTGACTAGTTGCTTTTTCTCTAGTCTACCACTTCAAAATTAGGAACGGCTAGCGCAAATAGCTCTCGTCTAGCTTTGCGCGAAATTCAACACACAAACAATCAAATCTTACTGTTCGTGTCAATGTCTAAGTTCTCCAGGAAAGAACACTTGGGTATTTGGGAAATATGATGTTGCTTTGGAGCTTAAAAAACGATAAGCCATCTTATCTTTCTTGTAAGTGTAAGGTGCTCATCTTCTGAAAATATTTGTCCTATAGAATTCATTGCATGTCTCTTAACGAAATATTGGACAAGCACTCTAGCTTTATCTACTGTAATTCCAAAAGGAGTAATAAAAATAAGAGATACCTCGAGTTCCTCGTACACATGAATCGGATCTGGAAGGCCACGTGTGTTAATACCCATATAGAAGTAAATACAAGCCCCCACATCGTAAGTCTGGGTTACTCGGTAAGAAATAAATGGTTGATAGGGTAATCCATGTACTTCCGCTTCTCTAAGAATTCTGTCTCTCACATTTCTACATAGATCCAAAACTCTGAAAATTGAAAGAAAATATTCCCTGTACTCACGTCATGCTCTTGAGTTGCAGGTACATTATCAACAATGGTACAACAACAGGTAAATGAACATTTTAATTTTCTTCCTATAAATAATATAATGTAAGCACAATAAACAGTACTGGGAGGTTAATGTAGGTTTGTGCCTCTAAATACAAACTGTCTGGAGCTCCACTTTGCTGCTTACTACTCTTTACACAAAAACTGTTTGTTAACGTGCACAAAGCTACACAATGGGCTATATGTGTTGTGCCCAACGTGGATATCAAAGCCTGATTTTAGCGACATAATCCCTTAGACTTACCGTACGCAGAAACAAGCTGATATATTCAGCCATTTCTAACAGATTCGTTTTGTTAAAATCCATCCTTTTAAAAACTGGCTGTTAGTATAAACATTAGATTAAATAAAGTATCAATTTTCTCAAGTTATAACAAAGTTGCTCTTTCTGCGCAAAATACCTTTCAAGCCATGTTTTTGAATGAACTTATTGTTTATTTAGTTTATATTATAGTAGTTACTGAACGCTGCGTCAAGTTTTTCTTGAACAGAATTGTTTGCGCATTACTGACTAATATGGTTCCACCTATTTACTAACATTTATACTTCAGGTTTACTTGTATTGCTCCCTCCCCCAAGGGATAGCTCATCTTGAAGGTTTATAACACTTAAAATTCGGAGTCACGTCCTCTCTGTGAGCACAGTACAAGTAGCCCATTTTGCATCTTTGTGCTTAACAACAAACCACAACTATTTCTTGATTTTTTCCCTTCTGTCATATGTCATCTCGGATGAAAAGCTATTGTAGTACATAAGGAAATGTCCCCATTTATGTTTGTTATTTCATGTCATTCACAGAGACGTCTTTAAAAGAGTCTTTATACTGTGTTGTATTACGTGTACTTTAAATATATCTTAACTATTTCATGTTCTGATTGATATACAAGTTTACATTATAATTTTCACTAAACATACCTATCCCATGGTACAGAAGTTTCAAACGATTCTGCAAATACGCCATAGTCAAATGCCAGGTCCTGCGAACATGAAAACTGAGTTAATGTAAAGAAACGAATGTTCGTTATAACACATTATGCTATATTAAAATATTTAATCAAAGTTGAAAATCTATCAGAGTTGGAAAGACAAAGCAATACTCTATGACAATGACTTCGTTAAAAACCTAATGACATTAAATGCAGAAAGAGGAATAAAATAGGATACCTTGCAGGAAAACGTGCTAAAGCTAAATCAATAAGTTAAAACAATGAATTGAAACTCGAAGCTTCTAATTCAGTGGGAAAGCGGAAATTTAAAATTTATTTCTTTTAAGCTTAAAAAACAAACTTATAGAATCAAACATAAAACAGAAGCCCTTCTTTGGGTTTGATGTCGCGATAATAACAGATTAAGTCGATGAGGCCATATTTTGAAGATTAATTTTAAACACTTTAAGATTTAAGCTAAGTATGGATACTAATTTTTTATTTTTCACATACAGGTTCTTAATAACCCTAATTTTTAAACCATTAAATCAAAGTATACAAGGCTGCGTTATAAGGAAAACGGTCAAATCCCGTTATTCAATTATAGTAGTCCAAGGGTTGGCGACGAGCTCTGTTGACTAACTGCTTCCTCTCTAATCTATCAGTATGAACTTAGGGACAACAAGCACAGGTATCTCTTGTGTAGCTTCGTCACGAATACACCAAGTCATGAATTATTCCTGTTTTCTTATGGCATTTTTGGCTTTCTTTGTTTCGAAAAATTATGGAGACAAAAATATGGTAAATAGAAGCACTTGTAACAATATATTATATATAAAATATGGTAAATAGAAGCACTTGTAACAATATCTTATATATAAAATATGGTAAATAGAAGCACTTGTAACAATATCTTATATATAAAATATGGTAAATAGAAGCACTTATATATAAAATATGTACTCTTAAGCCAACAAAAGATGTTCTTTAAAATTAAAATTTTCCCTATTTTGAATTCTTACCCCACATAGGAAGAATAAAATCTCCGGCATTTGAAAAGCTTACTAAACTAAAGCAGTTAATTTACATTAGTTTCAATTCACTTACCACCACTTAGTAATTACAATTTTACACCGACTACCGAATATTATAAATCTCAAGTTCTAACAAATCACACATTTCCTATTACTAAATAAGCCACCAACTTTTTACACGTTATTAGTGGCTTGTTTCAGATTAGGGGTTGTATCGTATCTTCTTGTAAGGTCACAACGTTGTACATACTGCTGGAGAATTGTTAGGAGTAGGGGCTGTATCATTACATTCCTCGAGCCTTCTTGTAGGGTCACAATGTGTTACATTCATTCTGAATTCATGAAACTGAATTATCTTTACAGAAGAGACTTCAGTTTAATTTCAATTGTACGCAACCTTTTAAAAGTTAAATAAACACTTTTAAAACTTTTTCAAGATGAGACAGATTCATCAATACTTATTTCTATCATCTGTTATTTCATCAGCTATTATTTTTTTGTACATCGAATGCCCAGTGGGGAACCACTTACTGTATCCGTGTCTGTTAAACTGGTATGGAATATTTTTTTACCCTTTACATCATTGTTCGATATCTTACCCGTATGTATGCAATCACGTAAGTTAACAGATAACCTCGTTTGCCGTTCTCCTCCCCTGCAGATAGACCTCTGCAATATATAAATACAAACCGTTATGGCGCAATACAACTTAACACTTAAAACATTAGAAACACTCTTATAACAACAAGTATGATACGGTTACCGTAGTCTCAAAAATGAAGTGTGTTTGTGTAACCGTTGTAAGAAGAATAAAATAGACTCATGTGACGCTAGCATACACTACTGGCGGAAAAACGTACTCACCAACATATATATTGTTTGGTTTTAGGTACTCATATTAGCCACCGAAGCCCCTTCAAAAAATCAAGAACACCAGGTTAATTAAAACCAAGAAAATACTGTAAAAATGAAGCAAGTCGGTAGAGAAACGCAGATCACTTTACACAGACTAATTTATTTTATGTATGTACATTGCGTGTAAAGACGGACAGAAAAAAAAAACGAATCCCTCAAACTTCCAACTGGACATGATCATAGAACCTCGTAGAGTGGTCCGAGCGTAACTTATTGGTTAGATTGTCAATTAAGACCAATTATCCTAAGTAAGAGAGACCGTAGAGTGCTTACAACGCTTATTGTGAAAGAGTGCAATCAGTACACCACCGATTTTCGGGAAACTGATGATCCGGTACCTCCTTTAATCCGGACAAAATTACGAGAGCGCAACTGAAAATCCAGCTACCGCCAGACTACTTCACTGGTCGGCCATAGATGGCGGTGCGTGTGCCGTGCGATCTTTCTGGACGGGCTACTCACATTTTAAGTAGTACGTCACTCTCGTGAAAATTTTCTTATAAATATTAAACTAGTGGATCAAATTGTTTGAATTTTTTTATGAATGTTGACAATAATATGTAGTTTAACAAGATAGGAATATTTAGTTTCGATTTTTTCTTCAATTTTTTTACAACACAGAATGTTGATAATAGTGTATGGGAATTAAAAATATAACGTACATGAAAATAACAATAATAATAATAACAGTAAAATTCTAAAATTTGCCACTTTGGAAGCGGTACTACTGCAACATTTTTTGTAAGTACAGTAATTAATAAACGTTTTTTTATTCATACTGTACTAATAAACCTGTATCATTTATACTTGTACTAATGTATTTCATTAACCATTTAATTCACATTTAATATTTGTTTTACTTCAGTTTCTAGCAGTCCATGGTACTTTAGAGACACGGGAGGGGTATAATTAGTGGGTCAGAGATGTATTGTTGAATTATTATTACGTGACCTCTGTTGGTCTGGCAAAAGTGATAATCCGGCAAGGCTCTGGAACCAAGGGTGTCGGAAAATCGGTGGTTTACCTGTCTTAGATTTACAGTTCATTGGAGAGTAAAACCAAAAGGCACCGTACCGACAGTAAAAGGAGGAGATTTCTCCAGAACGAATCAGAATACTCTCTTTCAGTTAGATAATCTAAAACATTTAAGGAAAAAAATGACCGCAAAGAAATAGTTAAGTATCATAGATGACCAAGTTGTTGGGGTATCTTTGAAACCCGAATGCAAAGCATACATCGACCTCCAAAAAACCTTCACCAATTACAAGAGCTTATTATAACCGGGACGGCACATATACCACAGATTACCTGTAGACATTTTACTGATTCTATCACTTCTCGCGTTTCCGCTGTACTTGGTGCCAACAACTTGTTAACTCATTGTTAACTTGTTAACACAAGATAAATGAGTGTTGGTAATTTTTGGTCTAATCCCTGAATTTTAAACTCTTGGAGCTAATTAAAGATGTTACAAAAACAGAAACACAGAATGTTATATTTCAGCTAAAAGCACCTTGTTAACGATGAGAAGCAGTCCGGATAAGGCAAAGTGGTTATCGTGCCGGACTGCAAATCCCAAGGGTTCGTGTTTCGTTGCAAAAAATTATAATAGGGCTCCGGAAGTACCTGCGTTTTAAGATGAAATAATACTTTTCACTGAGAGTAGCCGTAAAGGAAGAGTTAGCAGTGGGTGCTATCGAATAGCTCTTGTTCATAAGATACAAATTAGGGACGGTTAGCACAGATAACCTTTGTGCAGGTTTGCGCGAATATCCTAAACAAACCAAACCAAGGCACAATTGCGTTCGTGGTAACATTTCTAGTGAAAATAACACTTACAAAAAAATAGACATAACAAACTGGTGAGATGAGACTTGATTGTGGCACTTAGACAAAATTACGAACTGGTGAGGTGAGACTTGATAGTGGCACTCAGACAAAGTTACGAACTGGTGAGGTGAGACTTGATAGTGGCACCCAGACAAAGTTACGAACTGGTGAGGTGAGACTTGATAGTGACACTCAGACAAAGTTACGAACTGGTGAGGTGAGACTTGATAGTGGCACCCAGACAAAGTTACGAACTGGTGAGGTGAGACTTGATAGTGGCACCCAGACAAAGTTACGAACTGGTGAGATGAGACTTGATAGTGGCACTTAGACAAAGTTACGAACTGGTGAGGTGAGACTCGATAGTGGCACCCAGACAAAGTTACGAAGTGGTGAGATAAGACTTGATAGTGACACTCAGACAAACTTACGAACTGGTGAGATGAGACTTGATAGTGGCACTCAGACAAACTTTTCGAAGATCGTCAATATTACTTTTAAATTAAAACAATGTTGATTTAAAATACTGGTTATGACGAAGAAATGTGGTAAGAAGTGGTGCAGTATAGTATATACATTTCTAACGGAGTTCATCATATACACATTTATCTATGTATCAAGACTGAACTAGTTCCGAATAGACCTATTCTAAGGGACGTTAAAATTTATTGCTTGAACAAAATAAAATCTGCTTGTTTCGTAGAATGAACTATTTATTATGCTTTTGGTAAACTATCAATAGCTATTTTTGCATGCATTATTTTACGAATGTACTGATATGACAGAGAAGTTATGTCTTAGATATATTAACTTGACTCTAACTTTATCTCAAATATATCTTTAGTAACTTTCTTCAGGCTCATGCGTCGACTAGTGGTTAGCGTACCGGATTGGGGTTCGAGACGCCACGTTGCCAAAAACGCGTCGTACTTTCAGCTATATGTACGTTTTTTATCTGAAGGCAATCATACTATTCAGACAAGAGTAGCCGATTTAGGCAACAGGTGCTGTCGACTATAACCATCCCTCTCTCTAGTCCTCATTTCAAAAATGGGGACGGTCACGGTCGAGTCCCAGCACACTGTGAGAGCAAATCAACTTATTTTCTTTATCACACCATTTTTACAAATTATTTGGGTTCTTGATAGTCAAAAGAACAATTGTTTAATTAAGATCCTAAAAATGTTTATGTTTTTGGTTTTCTATTTTTATAACTAAAAGTACGTTTAAAAAGTTTAAAGTTTTAAAAAGCGGAATTGGACCTTTGTCCATGCTTTATAGAGAGATATTTTCGGTGGAATTTACTATTTACTAAATTCGTTAAGCTACCGATTACAACATAAAACTCTTTGTTTAAGTTCTTTTATTGACATTCATAAATATTAATGTGAAATGTAAGTGCACTCACCCATATTTGTTTCCTAAAAACATAAGCTTTTTTTCCAGACTTTCGACGTCCTTGATGTTGTTTGTTTGAAAATAAGGAAAAGGAAAGATTATAAAAAAGTAATTTGAGAAAATTGTTATGTGAAAAACTAGAATCACTGTGGTAGTGAGTTTAAAACTGTATTATAACATTTACCTCCCAGTGGCACAGCGGTAAGTTTATAGGCAAACAACGCTAAAAACAGGGTTTTGATACCCGTGGTAGACAGATCATAGATAGCCCTTTGTGTAGCTTTGCGCTTAACACCAAATAAATTGAATAAAAGGCCCCCGGGAGCACAACAGTAAGTGTGAAGGCTTATAACACTAAAAACCGGGTTTCGATACCCGTGGTTGGCACAGTACAGATATGCCATTGTGTAATATTGTGATTAACTACAAACAAACAAAATCATGACATTTTAATATTTAGTGCATGACTATCACGACGTTAACAGAGCGTATACAATAAGAGCATAACCTCCTTGATGTAAACAAAAAACAAAAAAACATTAAAACCTAGGTGTAAAATCTGGTTACAGAATAGATTATTTGAATGAATATATATATGTATAATACAATACAAATATATCAAAAAATACAACAGTCCAGTGAAACGTTATTTGTTGAATTGGTTTTGTAGTCTTACAACTGTTACATTTCAACCCTGTAAAGAAAAACTTAAACAATAAAAATGATAAAATAAGAATAATTAAATCTACATACTAAGGGAGAAAAATAAATCATAAGGTAAGCGAGAAAATTTTATTTCATAAAAAAGAGAAACATATTGTAGCTAAATCGTTAATACATTTGAAATATAAGTGTTTGAAATTGATTTATAAGAACAAACTCTTCAAGAATCAAAATTCCTATTATATATATAATGTTCTCCAACCATGTTTTGTATTGGAGGACCTTTATCGCAGGTGGTAACGACACAGGAACGTATAACAAAATGGCTACGTTCAGGAAAAAAATACAATATTTGTGGATATGGTCACAAGCCATGTTCATATGGCGTATGGCCCAGCATGGCCAGGTGGTTAGAGCGCTCGGCTCGCAATCTGCGGGTCGCGGGTTCGAATCCCCGTCACACCAAACATGCTCGCCCTTTGAGCCGTGGGGGCGTTATAAAGTG